AATGCTTTGGTTACATTCTCCTTTTCTAAAACAAGTTAGGCAACTTGTTTTTAAACCTTACTATTTTTGCAAGAACTTGAGTTAATCCTTTCGTTGTAGCCCGCGGTTACGTCAATTTCTGTATGCTGCTCTTCCAGGTTATGATGTGATTGCTCAAGCCCAGTCTGGGACCGGGAAGACTGCTACCTTTGCCATTTCCATTTTGCAACAGATTGAACTGGACTTAAAGGCCACGCAGGCCTTGGTTTTGGCACCCACTAGAGAGCTAGCTCAACAGGTAAGACTTTTCTCTAAGGCTGGTCCTATTCTGCCATAGGAAAAAATTAAAGCACGGAAGTAAGCAAAAAAATTAAAAGATAGAGAAGTTAAAGGTGGTGGTTATAGGTATCCTGGTTACCTCAAGTGTGCTTCCTCCTCACAGTTCAAACTCTCCCCCATAATTAAAGGCCCCTTTTTCTTGCCATATACCCAGCAACTAACACCTCCAATTGCCTGACTCAGAAGAAAGCTAGCGTTCTGGGTGGAGCATGGTAGTCTGGCTAGGCAGGTTTAATGGCCATTTCATGGCCGGCCATAAGCTTCTCCCACCACACCCCTGACACTGGGTAGAGAGACACCTCTTTGGTGGTGTTCTTCTCATATCAGTCAGGGACATAGCAGCAGTCCAAGTTCATCCCAGCTTGATGCTTTGCTTGGTGGCCATAGCTGGTTCATGCCCTGGGCGCATAACTATCCACTGGTCTTAGGAGGGAAAGAGTATTGGTTACTATTTCATTATTTATGTTTCTTAGTAACTTCTTTAGAACCAGTGAGAGAACTTCAAAAGTTATGTTGGGGGGTGGGGTAAAGTATTTAAACCCACTTCCCCTGGGGAGTAGAATGAAAGGATATCATGGGCTGTAATTTTTTTTTTTCTTGGACCCAGATCCAAAAGGTAGTGATGGCACTGGGAGATTACATGGGTGCCTCGTGCCATGCCTGCATTGGAGGAACAAATGTTAGGGCTGAGGTTCAGAAGTTGCAGATGGAAGCTCCCCACATCATTGTTGGCACCCCAGGTCGTGTCTTTGACATGCTTAACCGGAGATACTTATGTGAGTATTATCTTTCATTCATGCCACTTGGAAGTATCCTAGTCTAAGGAGTCTTTCCTATTTGCTCTGTGATGATCCCCCATGCGTGTCAGCTGAGCCCAGCTTCCCCTGTTCTCCCAGGTCTAAGTGGGTGTCTTACCCTCTAGTCTTTCTGGGCTGGCGGAGGTCTGTGTGCACATGATCTCTCTTTAACCCTGAGAGCAGCCTGTATTGGTTAATTCTCAAGAGAGTATAGAGGTGGGTATGGAAGAAGACAGTATCTAAAGCTTCCTTTTTTCTTTTTTTTTTCTTAATCTTTCTCTCTGCAGCTCCTAAATACATTAAGATGTTTGTTCTGGATGAAGCAGACGAAATGTTGAGTCGTGGTTTTAAGGACCAGATCTATGACATATTCCAGAAACTCAGTGGCAATACTCAGGTATGGGGAACAGGCCCAAGTGTCTCAATGCTTTAATCAGTTAAATGTTTTCTTTTACAGGTATAATCTAAAGCCCAGAGGTCATGGAGTTAAAGGTTTAAAACAGAAGGGACCTTAGGCCATTTAATATCCACCACCATCCCCCTTGGGGGTCTCCTATTTCATAAATAAATAAACTACCCAGAGAGGGAAAGTAACTTATCTAGGATCTCAAAGATTGTGCCTAGGTCTTTTGACTCGTGGCCCAACATTTTCCATCCAGAGCTAAGAATCAAACATAAACATGATTACGTTGAGTTCTGCTGTTTCAGGAAGGGGGGTGTCTCCTTACTTTGTAATGTGGTCCATACTATTATAGCTTATATTTGGACATAGGTGAGGTGGGGAGGAGAATGGCAGCAAATTATGTAGTGAGATAGGATAGTGAGGATTTTGGGGTGGGTATAAGAGAAGATCTTGGTGATTTTAAAGGAGAGGACAAAGAGCTCGGATAAATTTTTTAATTAAATTTTTCTTCCCTCCCAAGGTGGTACTCCTATCAGCCACCATGCCCTCAGATGTGCTGGAAGTGACCAAGAAGTTTATGAGGGATCCTATCAGGATTCTAGTCAAGAAGGAAGAATTGACATTGGAAGGCATTCGTCAGTTTTACATAAATGTGGAACGAGAGGTGGGACCCAGTGGAGAAAGGTGGTGTGTAGCCAGGGGAGGGAAGGATTCTGTCGAGATTCTGGAGCACTGGCCCTGACTGGTTTCTTCCCCCAAAGGAGTGGAAGCTAGATACCTTGTGTGATCTGTATGAAACGCTGACTATTACCCAGGCTGTTATCTTCATCAATACCCGCCGAAAGGTGGATTGGCTCACTGAGAAAATGCATGCCCGTGACTTTACTGTCTCTGCAATGGTGAGTTTCTTGGTGTTGCCTTTTAGTATCATTTCCACTGGACTTTGAGAGAGCTGATTTTTTGATGTATGCAGGTTCTGCAATTGTTTCCATTTCTGGGAGTCTGAGGGCTGCCACAGGGGGAAACTGAGTGAGACACTGAAATCAGGACCTGACCAGGGATGCAGAAGGGAGGGGGTATGTGAGATTTTGCTCCCTTCCTTTACAGTTGGTCACCAGCTTGTCCCTCAGGAAGGACAACTGCCTGTCTACCATTCTATTCTGTCCAGTAACAGAGACTAAGAGCTCGGGAGGCAAGCTGCTACTTAATGTAGCTAGCTGCATGAGTGGAATGGAATGAATGGTGGACCAGCAGTCTAAATAAAATGAACTTGGCTTTTGGGCCCAGTGAAAAATCTCACCTTTGTCTCCCCACAGCTTCATTCCTGTCCTGAGCACATGGTTGGTCATTAACCCCTGTGACAGCTCTCAGGACCCCTAAGACTCCCCCACAAATGAAACAATCAGATCCCACTACATAGCTGTCCAATTTACTTTACTAGTCACCTGATTCTTTATTCCCCACTGACCTTCTGTTCTCTCGGCAGCATGGAGACATGGACCAAAAAGAACGGGATGTAATCATGAGGGAGTTTCGCTCAGGTTCCAGTCGGGTGCTTATTACCACTGACCTATTGGTGAGCATTTAGGAAAATTTTGACATGGTTCTGATTTAATCCCAAGGGTGTTCCAGCCTGTTGCCCTAGGAATGAAACTCCTAATAGTGGAGTGGGGTATTGTTGAATGTTTTCTCTATAATCTGTCCACAGAAGTTTCATTTTATAAATCAAAAACATTCTTGACCCCAAGCTACAGTCATAGTAGAGCACTGAGGGCATACCCTTTGACTCAGAGATGATGACAAATATATCTGTAAAATTATGATAGTGATACTACTTTTAATATGATTGTGACTTACTTTTTTTTTCTTTTTTAGGCTAGAGGCATTGATGTTCAGCAAGTGTCTTTGGTTATTAATTATGACCTTCCCACCAACCGGGAGAATTATATTCATAGGTAAGCAGTGTAGAGAAACTACCCATCATCTCAGTAACACTTTTAGGGATATAATTTTTCTTGTCCAATTTATGTTTATTTTCTCTTACCAATTCAAGTTATTTCTAGATCTCCCCATTTCCTTTTTATTTTACTTCCAATTGTGAGGTTTCTTAGACTGCCCTAACTTGTATTATATATTCTCCTACCCCCAGAATTGGCCGTGGTGGGCGCTTTGGGCGTAAAGGCGTGGCCATCAACATGGTGACAGAGGAAGACAAGAGGATTCTTCGAGACATCGAGACCTTCTATAACACCTCTATTGAGGAGATGCCTCTCAATGTGGCTGACCTCATCTGAGGGGCTTCCCCACCTGATTTAACCCAGGGCCCTGCTCTCTGGGGTGGGGGAAAGGGGAGCTGGATGGGAGGGGGGAGCAAGGGATGGACACCTTTGTCATTTTTTCCTTTTTTTTTTTTTTTTTTTTGACTTTGAATAAATGTCAATTTTTGAGGCAAAAGGAACTGTGAACCTTAGACACCCTTTTCTTTGGGGCAGGTTTATGCCCTTGGCGCCGCAACCTTCTCCCCCCCCAACTTTTCTTCCCCTTCCTTCAAAACACTAATCCAGCCCTTCACTGTTTCAGCCCAGTCTGTCCTCCATTCTCAACAGCCAAATAACTCCCCCATCCCCCACCAAAAGGTAGTCGAGAGGCCATGACTGGCCACTCTGCCCCATCCCTGTTCCTGGACAAAATTTGGGGGATCCACCCCCATCATGAGGCTGAAATAACTCATTGGGTTAGCTTTTCCCCCAGATAAAGGGAGCAGGGGAGAGAAAGTAGTCATTTTTACGTTGTTTTGTATAGTATTTATTGATTCAGGAAAGAAACCACAAAATTCTGAATAAAATTACTTGGAAACTGCCTGTTTGGGCTTCTTATTTTTTTATCTACCCCTTTCCTCAATCCAGTTTCTGGGTGGAGGTCACTGGTGTCCCCTTAACAGGGTAATACATAACTCTTTACCTAGGGTTCAGATGATGTGTCTCCATAAGCGTCATCAGTCCTACCCATGCCCACTGTACAAGTTATCCCCTTTAAAAAACAGAAAACCCTAATGGCTTAGCCATTAATCTGGCGATAAAGGTTTTTGTGTCTAAACTACCAGAAAAGCAAAGGTGGGAGACTATATAATGTAAAAAAAGAAAGGGGGGGAGGTATCCTCTCCCATTTTGGTACCCCTGTGCTTCTTTCCTATGCTATATTTCACAATTATCACCATTAAGGTCTTCCCTCCAAGTCTTAACCTCCCACCACAATTACGAGCCTGGCCTTTATTTCTTCCTTCAGCCATTAATGCCACCCCCATATATCCCTTCAGCTTCCTCTTAGCCCAGAAGGAACCTCATGACAGCACTGGTTGGGGCAAACTGAAGATTGAGAAATTCTTGACTCAACACTGAGTCTGGTGAGCCTGAGGTGCTTGAGTCAGAATGTGGGTGGAGGGTTAGTTACTAGGAAGTAGGTTTCATATTTCCCTTAAAAGACAAGACGGTAAAGTGAATCAGTCTCTTTGGGTGCAGAGAAGAGAACCCTGGAGGAAGATCCTAATTGGCAATCCTGAATTATCATGAGACTTCCTCTGCTACTTTCTGGTATCTTGCTGGGGCTGCTGGCAGGTATGGGGGAAGGGTGGCAGGGTTGGGCATGCTAGGGCAGTCCTTATTTTGATTATCTTCCAGGGATGATCTGCCCTTACTCTTTTCCCTCAAAGACCAGGGGGCAGGGAATAAGTGTCCTCAGAAGAAGTCTGTTACCCTGGTACCATCATTCACGGTGACGACCATGGCGACAGAGAGGAGTACCACCAGTCCCGAAACTACCACAGGACATGGGAAGACAGCCACATCCCACAGGACCTCCACAGCTGCCACTATCCCCCACAGTAACAGCACTACTACCAGTTATCCAACCACAAGTGAAGGAACAGCTATCACTCATGGAACTACCACAAGCCCCAGAAACACCTCAACCATCAGCCCATCTAAATCTGTGCCAGTCCCACCTTCTCCTGAACCCACCTCTGGCCCCAGTGGGACTGTTGGAGACTACACTGGGGCCAATGGTTCCCAGCTCTGTGTTCGCCTGAGGGCTCAGATCCAGATGAGGGTCCTGTACCAGAGCCACAGTGGAGGAAAGGTCAGACCCACTGGGAGGGGACAGCAAGAGTCTGATGCGGTGGGGGACTGGGTGGGAGGAGCAAAAACTAGGGCAGGGGAAGAGTGGGAAGAAGGGAAAAAACAGAAGGGGAAGATGATGTGAAGCAGTAAATTGACTCCATTTTGTTTTCGTCTTCCTGCAGCTTTGGGGCATTTTTGTCCTGAACCCGAATAGAACGGTTGCTCAAGGCAGCTGTGACGGGAACCATTCCAGCCTAATTCTCTCTTTTCCTGATGGAAAACTCATCTTTGATTTCAAGCAGGTACAATTTTAATGGTCAAAAGATAAGCCCCTCCTCTCTGATCCTTTCTTCACTACATACTTAGATTTATTTATAATCAATCCTAACACCACCCTTCCCAGGACTCAATCAAGAAAACTGTCTACCTGAACTGCTTGGTGACAGAGTTCAATGTGTCCTTCCCTTCCGCAACCCGTGAGTACTCCCACACTCTAACTTCTACTTTACTGAGGGGAAATGGAAGGAGAGGAAAGAAAAAAACGTGAATTCTTTGATCTCTCCATACTCCTTAAATCAGGGTGGACATTCTCAGCAGAGAATTCATCACTCCATGATCTCCAAGCACCACTGGGTCATAGCTTCAGTTGTAGAAATAGAAGTATAACACTCTCCCCAGATGTCCACCTCGACTTACTATCTCTGCAGCTGCAGGCAGCTCAGCTACCCCCAACTGGAGCCTTTGGCACAGGTAAGATGCCCACCCCACCAGCCACCTCATCAATTTAATTCAATTAAACATCATGGCCTATTGTGTGCAAGGCAGTATCTTTTCCAGGGACACCACTCCTTCCCTTGTTCCTCTTCCCTGCTTTCCCAAATGCCCTCCCTCTTCACTGGACTGGAAGCAAATATTCCCTAGTCCCATCCACTTGTCCCGTTCATTGGTCCCATTCTTGTCTAGGCATCTCTGGTCCTACTTAACACACTAATTTAGGCTTCCCAAGAGAGAAGACCTAGGTTTGAATTCTACATAGTTGTGTAATAAGCCGTCTGGGCTTCAGTTTCCACATCTGCAAAATGAGGTGGTTGGACTAGATGAGCTCTAAGATCCCCTCCACCTAATACCTTTTCCTGTCCCTCCATTCTGAGTTGAAGCACTAGAAGGTTTGCCCCACTTTAGGGAGTAAACTCCAAGACCTTTTCTATCAGCTACCTTTCTCTGACCCCCCCACAACAGCCTATTCTTGGGTACTTTGCTGTTCACGTTACCTCTCCCTTTTCTCCCCCTAGCTTTCTCCTGTTCTGCTGAACTCAACATCCTAGTGCCTCTTGTGGTGGGCCTTATCGTCCTCGCTCTACTCACCCTTGTGCTTAGTGCCTTCTGTATCTCTCGAAGACGCCCACCAGCCTACCAGCCTCTATGAAAGCTCCTGATTCCCTCTGCAATTCCCCTCTACCTTTGGGGGGTGGGGGTGGGGCTGAGAGGAGATTTCAAATGACATAAGGAGAGACATTGTGGGCAATGAGAGTCTTTATTGGATTTGACAGAGGTACCTTCCTAGAACCATATAGATACATGCATTTTCCTTAACTTCTCCATTCCTGCAATGATTAAAGATCACAATTGCTTTGCCTTATGTCTGGTTCTTTGTCCTTGATACACTTTCAAGAAGTCTGAACAGTAGGAAGAATGTGTGTGTGTGTGTGTGTGTATGTATGTATGTGTGTTTTCCTTGATGCCTGGCACAGTACATCCCCATGTTTTCAGTGCCTTCCCTCCCTCCTCCTTTGGGGCTGGGGCTGAAGGCTCTTCGAGTCCTCACCTTGGTCCTAGAATATGCCACGCTGAGTTCAGCAGGTAGTAATGACTATGGGTAAGGACCAAGTAACAGTGTATTCTACATTTCATCAGCTCCATCAGTGGCCTTGGAGCCACCACAAGCTGCCATCCACTGTATCACTACATCAAGGATTGCTTATATTATCTCTTATATTGATGTTGCCATTGCTGCATTACCAAATGACCACATCAGCAATGGGAGAAGTGACCTACTTTGAGAGGCCCCTAGGAACAGTAACCCTCTAGTCCGGATTGCATGTTAGGCCAGGCCCAACATCTCCCCAGCATCTGTGGCATGATGATATCTTGCATCCATTTCCAGAAGCCTCTAGACCACGATCACCAAAAGTATCAACTTTATATATAATAACACAAATAATCAGGTACCCAACTAGGGCCATGGATAGAGCCCATAACTCCCAAATAGGTGTGGTAAGCCATTACCACAAGGGCAGGGAAAGTGACTTAGGTGAAGAACGTCCAGCAACCCCCACCACTGTCTCCGACACATCACGGATGACCTAATAGGTCATCGAATGGAAGACACCAAAGAGCTGTTAGAGAAACATATTTGTAACAGCCCCCTGCCCCAAGAAGGTCATGAGGTAAAAGCTGTACTTCCACAAGAAGGCCCAGCACATACTGGCAGTTTGGATAGCTTCTCCCAGGTGGAACTAACTGTTAGAACTCCGTACCTCGGTACCCTGCCCCAGAAACCCCAGGAAGGAGCCTTGGCCCATAGAGGCTTGAGTGTCAGAAAGAACTTTGAAGGGAGTGAGTAGAGTTTGACATAGAATGGTCATAACCCCCCACCCCAACAATTCCTTTTTGTCAATATAACCCCAGAGCTTGGAAAAGTGGTTTCCTAAATACTCATCTAGTTAAATGGATTAAGTCATTGGCAAGCCTATTGCTGGCAGCCATCTTGGATCCATTAAAAACCTCTCTCTCCACTACATCATGTGGGCAGTGCTATTGCCAAGACTCTGGAAAAACCAGAAAGAGAAATGCAAAGCCTGACACACCAGAACCACCTCGTGGGGGGGGGGGTTTGGGGTTGGTTCTGGTCTCTTGCCCACCTACTCCCCACCTCCGCCCCGGGTTTGGGTTTAACAAAAGTGGTGAAATATTTGGGCTTCTCCCTCTCGGCCTCTAACAAGGCAGAGACACCCAAATTGGAAAGGATTCGACAAAATGGCGCCAGGGGGGCCCTGGTGATGAGATCCATCTCATTCACAAAAACAGATCCTCAAATAGAGCGACAACAGCACATATGTATATTGCCCTTTTTAAATTGCGTCCACCCCAGCCCCGCCCCTCCACCGCCACACATCCCGTCAGGCAAAGAGCAACAAAAATGGTGTAAGAGGAGCGCTTTACGCTTTGGAGGCAAACACTTCCGGGGGTGAGAAGAGCGCCAGCGAACGAGCGCAAGAGGAAATTGGTCGGAAGTATGGAAACGCGCATGCGCGTGCCTACGAACTTTAATGGCAGTCCAAGCAGGGGAGGGAAAGCACAAGCAGGCGGCGGAGATCAGTTTACAAGATGGCGGAGGAAGCGGAAGGGTCTTTAAAGCGGCTTTTGGTGCCTTTTCTTCTGCCCGAGAAATGCTACGATCGGTTTTTTATCGACTTGGATTTGCTCGATTGTAAGCCCCTCTCCAGAATCACGTGGTCCTCCGGACGCGGGGATCTGTAACTGGCCTGGGATGGGGGTGTCAAACCACGAGATCATGGCAGCCACTGCCGTGACCTTTCGGGCGGTAGTGACTGAGGGCGGCCATGGAGGCAGGGCGGAAGTGCCTGCAATCCGCGTGGGAAAGGAAGTCGTGTTCCTTTTATAGGGGCCGTGGGTTGGGGTGGCGTGACTAATGAGGTCCCCATTAAGAGCTACTGCACCCTGTTAATTAAAGTTTCTGGGTTAGTGAGTTGATACCGGAAGTGCTAAGGTTCAATCTGCACAACGTAGGGCCATAATAATGACGGTAGCTGATAGTTTACATTGCCTTCCATCCATTAGTTTGTTTTCCATGATGTGGCAGAGAGGTGATGTTGCTGCAGGTTTGATTGTTTCCATTTAATCGATGAAGGCAGTAAGGTTCGCGAGGTCAAGTGATTTGCCCAAGGCCACAGAGAAGAATTAAGATTTGAACCTAGGTCTCCATGAGACAGGGAGAGAGAGAGAGAGAGAGTGTGTGTGTGTGTGTGTGTGTGTGTACGTATACATTGTATGTCCAAGGTGGAATTTGAACCTAAGTCTTTCTGACTTCCAAGTCCAGAGCTCTAACTGTTAAAGTAGGCCGCCTTCCACACTGTTGCTATATATTTATAAAACACCCCCATTTAAAAGGAGATATTATCTGGGAGATAAGCTACCTTCCTCCCCCATTTTATAGGTAAGGAAATGAGCTAATAGAGGGCAAGGATCACATAAGCTGTAAAATATCGTACTTATTTGGAGTCCTCCGACACCAAATCTACTTGCTCAACAGGTGATGTAGATGGTATTAGTACTACTTCCTGGGAGAAGCCGAAGCCAACTGAGTAAAGGGTGAATTAGTAGCAGCGATACTGCTAGAATTCAGGTCTCTGGCACAGGGTTTTTCCACCATACTATACATAACCTTTACTGAGTGACTGGTGTATGCAGTGCAGTGTGCCAGACCTGGGGTAATGTAAGGAGACCTCCAGGAACTCACAGTATGTGTGAAACTATCTTAGGATGATTTAAAACTGGAAGGAACCTTACAGGTCAGTTAGCCCAATCTTCTTTTTTTATAAATGAAAAACTGACTCCCAGAGAAGTCATAATAGGATCATAGATCTGAAGCTGGAGTGGACTTAAGAGGCTCTGAGAATATTTGGGGGAGATCAAGAGATTTAACCAAGCTGAAAAGTATTAAGAGTTGGGATTTGAACCTAAGTTCTCTGACTCAAGCCAGCACTCTTTCCACTCTATTCTACTGCTCTTCAATACATGCAAAACATGAGTAGGCACAAGTAATGTGGCCAGTAAAAATGAAACAGTCCCTGCCCTCAAAGATCTTACTGGGTAAGACAATGTGTGCAAATTTAAGGTAAATTGAGAGATTAGAAAAGGCTTATGAAGGTAGTGCTTGATCTGAGTTTTGAAGAAAAGTTGGGATTCCAAGAGACTGGTGAGGAGGAAGGAGGAAGTCAGTAAACAGTCTGTATAAAGGCACTGAGGCGAGAGATATCAGTTCCTGAAGAAGAACAGTAAGGGGCAGCTAGGTGGCACAGTGGATAGAGCACCAGCCCTAAAGTCAGGAGGACCTGAGTTTAAATCCGGCCTCAGACCAAACACTTGTCACTAGCTGTGTGACCATGGGCAAGTCACTTAACCCCAATTGCCTAAAAAAAAAAGAACAGTAAGAAGCCTGGTTTGGCTGGGCCGCTGAATGTCTGAAAAGGAGTAATGCAAAATCAAGCTGGAAAGGTTAAATGCCAAACAGAGAAATTTCTGTTTGATCCTAGAGGTAATTGGGAGTCCCTTGAGTTTATTGAGGAGGGAAGTGAGGTGGTCAGAAATTGCTTTGGTAGCTATGTAAAGGATGAATTTGGAAGACAAGAAACTCAAGGGAGAGGGACCAATTAGAAAACTCTTGTAGTAGTCCAGGAGACAAGTGATAAGGATTTGACTGGTTTCAGCTGGCCTTTAGGTTATCTCTACCAGCAGGGGATTTGGTATAGATGATAAGCCAGCCAAGTCATCTGAGAAGGAACACTCAGACAGGCAGGAGGAGAATCAAGATGGAACGAAGAATAAGATCACTTTGAGCCAGAGTGGTCAGGGACAGCTCCGGCCTGGAATAGGTGGGGTTTGGGGAGGGTGTTCTAAGTGAGGAGCAATGGTGAAACCAAGAGCTCAGTGGTGGGGAAAAGTCAGCATTGAGATTTGCCCAAAGGTAACAATTTCTTTTGGACAGCAGTAGAGATTAGCTTTGAATGACCGATTGGGAAGGGGAGCATCATCGAAGGTTTCTGGGGTGGTGTATTAGGATAACAGTGGATGACACTGGGTTTCGAGGTTTAAAGTACTTTCCTCATAGCATCACTGAAGTGGGTTGGGTTGTACAAGTATTATCCCCATTATAGAAGTGAAAAACCTGAATCAGAGAGGAGTGACATAAGATTTAGAGCTCTGAAGGATTTTTGAGATCTTCTAGTCCAATCCGCTCATTTAACAGATGAAAAAACAGGCTTAGATAAACAACTTATTTGTCTGAAGTCACAGAGGTAACAATTAGAAGATCCAGGTCTTTTAACTTCAAATCCCGAAATTTTCCTGAGTCTTGATAATGTTGTGCAGGGAGACCTAGGACGTTAGCCAGGGTAAGAAAATGAGGCAGGGACAGTAGGTTGGCATTTTTCCCCCTCAGATGTCCCTAAGACCTCAGAGTCTATGAGACTATCTTCTCAGATGGTTCTCATGGAAAAGCAGTAGAGAAAGGTAGTGTCCCCAAGTCTAGGCCTAAAAGTAGAAAGAGTATGGGGGAGTAGACACTCTACAATCTTGACTGTCCCTATGCTTTAATACCATTGTCCTTTCTTGGCATTGGAAGGCAGGCACAGTCCTCTGCCTTCAGAGGAGGCTGTAGGACAAGAGGCTTGGCCTTATAATTCAACCTTGGCTTTGTCTTTCCTAATATCTTAACTCTCTTTGCTTCCTCTCACCCCCTTCCAGTTCCCTGCCTCAAGATACTAATCAGCAAAGGCCTGGGACTTGGCATTGTTGCTGGATCATTGCTGGGTGAGTGTCCAGTGGGAATTAGAGGTGTCCCCCTTGGTCATCTCAGGGGTACGGGCTCCAATTGAACTTGAGACCCCCTTTTCCTCAAAAAGCAAACATAGCTGGGAAAGGAGTGGGTCTGTATTCACAGGAGATATGGCTTTTCTTGTTATCTGCTTGCCCCCTCACAGTGAAACTACCTCAAGTGTTTAAAATTCTGGGGGTGAAGAGTGCAGAAGGCCTGAGCCTCCAGGCATTTCTTCTAGAACTGGTGGCCTTGACTGGGACCATCACCTACAGTGTGGCAAACAGCTTCCCATTCAGGTAACTCAGGGGCCCAAATGGCTTTGGGAGTGTGATAACAACTTCTCTAGGAGTGTGAGGAATTGGAATGCTCTCTACCCATCCTTGCCTTAAAAGACAAATAAACAGGGGCAGCTAGGTGATGTAGTGGGTGGTGCACCAGCCCTCCAGTCAGGAGGACCTGAGTTCAGATCCAGCCTCAGACACATGACACTAGCTGTGTGATCTTGGGCAAGTCCCACCTAAATAAATAAATAAACAAACAAACAAAAACGGTTCATGAGTATTGTGTATTCAAAGCTGTGGAAACTGAGGAAATTAGACCAGCAATCTGTGGGAAGGACAGCTTTGGGTTTCTGGCTCCCAGCTTCTCACAGATAGATAGATGATTAGATAATAGTGTTAGGCAATTCCCTTGAACCTCAGATAGGCACTTGCTGTGATAGAGGATAACCCTTGGGAGTTGTAGACGTCAGGAAGACCCATAGGGGCAGTAGAGGAGGATTGGTCCAGCTCTGACCCATGTCTTGGCTCCCCTTCAGCTCTTGGGGTGAGGCCTTGTTCTTAATGCTACAGACCATTACCATCTGCTTCCTGATCCTACACTACAGAGGACATACCATGAGAGGTACCCCCCACACAGACCCCCAGGGAGAGGTGGGGGAGACTCTGGGCTGGGTTTCCTACAATCCTCCATGGGTGGGGAATGGAGACTTTTGGGGCACTGTAATAGAAGAAGGGTTAAGGCTTTCTGTGGGAAGAAAGCAGGGGAAGTAGGCAGGTTGGAAGATGGTTGATCTTTCCCTGGCACCACTCCAGGTGTGGCCTTACTAGGCATCTATGTCCTGATCCTGCTGGTATTGCTGTCACCCCTGATGCCCAAGACTGTGGTCACCCTGCTTCAGGCCACCAACAGGCCGGCTGTGATCATAGGGAGGGGGGGTGGGGGTGGAGGGGGTGGGGAAACAGTTTTATGGGGTGGGGATGGAGAGGGACAAACAAAATATGAGTATGAAAAAAAGGAGTTGGGCAATGGGTAGGGGTGAGGGTAAAGAACACACCAGATGATGGGGAAGGGACAGGAAATGGATGAGCACAAAGGTCTTTTGATTTTCCCTAGTTACTTCAGGTGATCACCAACTACAGAAATGGTCACACAGGGCACCTGTCAGCAGTCACTGTTTTCTTACTCTTTGCTGGTTCCCTTGCCCGAATCTTCACCTCCATCCAGGTGAGACTCCTCTCAGAGAACAGTCCCCACCTCCTTAGAGGCCCTACTGATTAAATGTCAGCTTACTCTTGAAAATGAGATTAATTAGATCTTCAGAGCAGGGACCAAGATTCCACTGCCTCTAAAACTTACTGCCTGTGCCTTGGCAAATCATTTATATCTTCCTGGCCTCAGTTTTCCTGTAGGGAAAATGAATGGGTTGGACTAACTGCTCACCCTCCAACTCTGATATTTTTTGTTTCTGTTCTATCCTCAGGAAACAGGTGACCCCCTCATGGCTGTGACTTTTATTGTCTCCTCCATCTGCAATGGTCTCATTGCCTTCCAGCTCCTCTATTACTGGAATGTCAGCATTCCTCACAAATGGGAAAAGAAACATCAGTAGTGTCTGCGATACTACTCCCCTTTTCCCAGCCAGAACAGTATCTCAAAGGCCCCAGTTTGGTCTTCATTCCTTTTCCTTTGGTCTTCTTGACCTGGGTTCCTCCTACTCCCAAAATTGGCATCCTTTTTTTGGGGCTGTGCGCCTCCTTCCCCTTTTGTTGCCCCCCCCCCCCCCCCAACTTTCCTGTCCTCCCTTCACTCCCCCATAGCTTCTTGTTCTCCAGTGTGTTGTGGAGCTTCCAAGAGAAGGGAGGGATTGTGACCAGGGGGTTGGGAGGAAGGTAACAAGTGAAGACATTAATGTGTCTTTGGACCATGAGGATGTCAGCTATGGCTAATTAACTAGCTTTGTACCTACATACATTCATCATGAGAATGGGATCTCTGGCTTCTTGGCAGAGCACAAAGGGAACTTCGTTACTTTCTTCCTTTTGATTCGTAGATATGCTTCTTACCTCTCAATCCTAGAAGATATCTCTTCTTGCCTGGTCCCCTTCAAACACCCTCCCCCATTAGGGTACTCAGAAGGGTATAGGCCCAGGAGATGAAGGGAGGTGGCACCTGCAGACTAATATAGGCAGTAACCAAAGATACGGAGAGAGACAGCTGACCAGAACCTAAGCTAAAACTGTCTTTTTCAGGTGGGATCCCCTGTTCTGAACTTTTGACCCTTAAGGCCATCCATATGATAGCCTCCAGGGCTGATGGGGAAGTGGTTCAGGGTAACTATCGGCACAGTCCTCCACCCCCAACTAGGCAAGTCCTAGGTGGAAAAACAGACCTGGGCCCTGCTGATGATCCCCTGGATTGGTGAAGCTGTGGAGGGAATCAAAAAGTGGGACCAGAACTCAAAATGAGTTTAATCTTACAAAACATACAATATATAAAAATTTGTATCTTCAATACAAAAATAATCCAGCATTCTCCCTTAATCAAGTCCCTCAGAATTCAGGTGTCCAGTCACCTGAGGGTGGTATATTTGTGGCTGGGGACACTGCTGTTAAGGGAAGGGGTCTGAGTGAAGGATGGGAGAGGCACCTGTATGTTCCTTTCATGGACCCTGGGCCCTAGGGTTATTAGAGGTGGATCTAGGGGTGGGACCCAGGAGAGCAGGATTGTAGGAGGTAGGGCCAGGGGAATAAGGGTTGTAGGGATTCAAGAGCTCCCCTTGGAATGGAGCTGCAAGAGGAAGGGAACAAAAGGAAAGGGCCTCCGGCTTAGAGTGATGAACTCTGTGGAAGAAAGAAAAGGGGAAGTGTTATTAGAACTTAGGTGTCTGTGGTCCTCACCTCCATGCCATCCCTCTTCTTTGGTATTCCTCTTAGACCCAGAGTTTGTCCTCCGTTGTTCCCTCCCCAGGAGAGGGTGTGTCGGGTAGATTTCCTGAGTCACGTTCCCCAGCTTTCGAGTTAGACCTGTTCTGGGCGGGCAGGAGGAGGGACAGCAGCTTGTTTCTGGCTCAGCCAGTAGCACAGATGTCCAGACCCTGCTTGGTATTATCAATGGGACAGGGACCTCTAGTGGCTTAGACGCTACCGTTTGGTCTTTTTGTGGCATGCTGGCATCATTTGGCATGTATGCTCCCCAGCTGTTCTTTTCCAGGGAGAACAAGAGAGGTTTGCAATCTCCCTGCCCTAGGGGATGGGAGAGGGACTTGGGTCAACTAAAGGACAGGACTCTGAGGATGGAAAAGTCGAGGACGCTGGGGTGTGAAGGCAGTGAGGAGAGAAGGTTCTATGTCCTAGCCTTGTTCTGGAGGTAACCCAGGAAGAGGTAGCAGATAGGGGCAAAAGTCTATGCCAGACGACTACTCAAAGTTGTTACTTAGGATATTACAATATGGGAGAGAGGCAGAGGTGGTTGATCAAGCTGGACTTAATTTTGAATTTGGGGAGAAGCCTTCCCATTGGAAGTGCTGTCTCCGTGCTCTTGTAATCATGAACCCACCTATGAGGCCTCGAATTCTCTCACCCCGTTCCTCTCCCATCTAGACTAGGGCTTAGCAGCTGAAAAGCCTACCCCCCTATTCCACACCCAACCCAGGTTCTAGGCCAGCCACGGATTTCGTCATTAGCTAGGGAGCCCAAGGTAAGGTGAATATAGCCTGGACCTATTTTCTGGATGTTCCGGGTGTCCTACTGCCCCTTATTTCTAAGGCCCAAACTTGCACCGAGTTTTGAGAGCGTGCGCTCAATTGTCCATCCCCGCCCTCCCGGTCTCAACCCCCTCCCACGCTGTGGTCCTCTAGGAGAGTATGGACGGTGGTTGCCCGAGGGTAGGAAGTCCCATGTCCTTCCTTTTCATCCACCCACACGCCCCGTCTATCACTTGGCTATCACTTACCCGCAGTCCTCGGCCAGATAGGAAGAGGAGTAGTGGGGCTGGTAGCCAAAGCCTCTAGTCCCCCATCCTGGCTCGGCGCCGTGGTTGCTGCTGCCCTTGCTTGCCCTGGCCAGCCCCAGACCTTCGTGGCCCAGGTTGGTGTTCTTGGCCTTGCGACGCGGCCGGTACTTGTAGTCGGGATAGTCGCGCAGGTGTCGCGCCCGGAGCCTCTTCGCCTCTTCTACGAAGGGCCGCTTCTCAGCCTCCCCCAGCAGTTTCCACTGGGCGCCCAAGCGCTTGGAGATTTCCGAGTTGTGCATCTTGGGGTGAAGCTGCGCCATCTGGCGACGCTGGCCCGAGCTCCACACCATGAATGCGTTCATGGGCCGCTTCACCTTCGTGGGAATCTCCCCGGGAATCCCAGGACTCTCGGACTCCAAGGGACTGGAAGTGGAAGATGCGAAAGCAGTGGGAGCAGGGAGTGTCAGGGCCCAGGCCTTAAGTGGAGGAGCCCGGGGCAGCGCCATGGAGATGATTAGCCTGGGAGAGGAGGGGGAGATAGGGAGGAGGCTCAGGAAAGTGGTTATCGGGCTCCCTGCCTGATCCAGTGTCTCCAAACGCCAAGTTATCCCAAATCTGGTATCCTTCAATGGAAGAGGTTCCTTCACAATCCTTCAGTCTCCACGGAGGTAACCCACCCACACTCCCCTCCCCACACTAAAGGAGAATAAGAATCTCTGCTACCTTGTCCCCAAATCCGTTGTCCTTAATATGGTGGTGTATGGCCACTCAGCAGTCTTTAAAATTTCGCAAAGCCAGAAAGCCAGTGTTTAGCACCAGCAGCAGGTAGCTGGGTTCTCCCTCCACAGCTCTCCTTCGGGATCTTCCCCAAATCCAGGGTCTCCACCCCTCCCAACCTTCCAAAAAGTACTTTGAAAAGCTATGAAGGTGTGCTTCTCAGGCCCTGGAGCGACTGGCTTCCTCGAGTCAGTACTGCTCTGGGTTTCTGCGTGTTTCCGAGGATACCTTACTCCAATCACCCTCGGGGGGACATAAAGGGGGGTGTGGCGGCAAATGCCAGTAGTAGGCCGGTCAGACCCGGTAAAGGCTTTTAAACAGTGACCCCGCCCTCCTCAAGGGCCTCCTCCATCTTCTTTTCCCCCGCCCCCCAACGCTCTCAGGTTTACTGTTTTCCCGGCCCCCACTTTCTTCTCCTCAGGGCTCCACTCCCAAAACCCAGCCCTATTCCAGGAGCCTCGCCTCTCAGCGCCCTCTGGAATTTATTCCCCTCCCTTAAGTAATTTTAGGTCTAGAACGCCCTTAAAGACAGAAATGGGAGTAAATCCTAAAAACGGGGTAAAACAGCATTCTCCCTCTCGACGCCTTTCAGATGGGTTCTCCGACCCAGACTGTCTCTGGGGAAGATTTGGAGAATGTACGTTTAAGGTAATTTCTCTTCCAGAGTCACCCTAGCAGGTGCTCAGGCTGTGTGACTCTGGCTTTCTCCGGTGCTGAGGATTATCCTAACCCTACAGGCGCCATTTCTATCCTCAGGGGAACTGGGGAGAGGAAGGTTGGCCAAGCAAGCAGCAGAGCCATTGTTGGTAAAGATTGGGGGGGTGGAGGGAGTCTAGGGTTCCAGAGAGAAAATATAAGGTGCCCTGTCAGGAAAACATCTCACTTTGTGCCCCATCTTCTCATGGCCCAGCCCTGGCCCTAGGGGACCCCAAAATAAACTAAGCCGATTAAGCTAGCTTCCCCGCCTTGGCTCTAGCTCTCAACCCCTAGGGAGGGGCATCCCTGAGTCACAGCAGAAGGCAGTGTAGGTATAGGAGTGGCCCAACTCACCCAGCAGCAAGTTGGGTGGGGACACTTGGGCAGTTCCCTGGTAAGAAAAGTAAGATGCTTACTTGGGAGGAGGGGCAGAAAGAATGAAGGAGGACATCACTTCTAGAATTAAGGGGCTCTAGAGGAAGTTGTACAAGTAGTAAGGCTGAGCTAGGTGCAGGAACTGTTGTAAGTCCATGGGATACAACAACTGACAAGGGGAAATGACTAAGGGAGCACTGTGGCTCAGATTTAATGAGCATGTGAGAAACAAGACTGGGAGGGAAAGAAGGGAGCCGTTTGGATTTTTTTATTCTTTTTAAATACTGTACAGTGAAAAATAAATACACCTTCTCATTAGCCAGACAAAGTCTGTCCCCCCTACCTCCCACCCCCAGAGACCCTTAATAGGTCCCTACCCCTGCTTCAAACCCCCCTCCCCATGCCTCCCACCCAATGACACCACCCCCATCTTCCACAGTGATGAGGCCCAGAGAGGGGGGGACAGGATGAGAGAAAGGGGTGCCAAGGGAACCCCCCCCAAACCATCAAATTTGGGTGGGTACAGGAGGACCCTCCCCACAAACAAGCCGGGGAGAGAGTTAGGGGCCAGGGAGAGATTGGGGCATTAGAGGATAAAAGGCACATCCAGTCTGATGGGGGGGGGAGGCTCCCCTCACCATGGGGTGGGGTAGACAGAGGAAGAAGAGGAAAGGGTGACCCTGTAACAAGCACACCACCCCACCCCAAGCCCCCGGGGGGTGGGGAAGAACCCACAGTGTGGCCACTGTTCCCTCCCCCTTTAGACAAGAGCAGCTCCAATGCGGGTCAGGAAGGGCTTGTTGGGTAGCAAGCAAGATGGGAGGGAGGGGGACAGGGAGGGGTGGAGGAACTTTTATGAGACCCCATTCACCAAGCTGCCCAGTTCCAAGGAGGCAGAGAGCTCCCCATTTTCCGAGGGGCCCTTAGGAAGCTTGCTGACACCCTGGAGAAGAGAGAAGGAAGGTGATAAGAGGGGACCCTTTATTTCCTTTTACTGTAACAACTCCCAAAAAGGCCAAGCCTTGTGAATTCAAAGCCTTACCACCCGAAGGCCCCCCCCATCCCTGTTCTACCAGGAGAAAACTAGGGCTTCTCTTCCCCAATTCAACAAATCAACAATCAAAGTTTGGGGTACAGTGGGGGATTCCAGGGACAGAAGGAAGGAGAAGGCAACAATACATCTACCTTTGGTCCTGAGAGGGAGTCCTCAGAAGGGACATGAGTAGGCTCAGGGAGCTGCCTCTGTCGGCTTTGAGATTCTGCCCGGGAGATGTAATCTGCCACTGTTACTGTGGGAAGAAGGATCAGATGTCCACTCTCTAGCCTTCTAATTTTACTCAAACCCTATATCATCACAACCTCAGAGCCCCACTCTCTCAGGTCTAAGGTAGAACCCTGGCTATTCACCTGGCTGCCGGTCTCTGCTAATGGAGCCATCTGCCCGGTTACCACGGTTACGTCGTCTACGGCTTCGGTTTCTTCGCTGGGGTTTTGATTCCTCTTCTGTAGGTGAGGGTAGTGATGAGAAAGTAAAGATATTCAGAAAACAAGTACTCAGCCTCCCAAGCCTCATTTTTCTCAGTGACCCAGGGAAGCCTGCTCACCCAGACCATTTTCAGCCAAGTTAGGCCCATCAGACTCCAGTCCTCCATCTATGATAGTCCGGTCCTCATCTGTGCGTCTACGGCGGGAACGTCGGCGCCGGGCACTAGCTGGAGGTGGCTCTCCAGGCTCAGAGTCAACTGGGGGCTCTGGTTCTGATGTGTCCAGTAGGCTATAGGGGTTACTATCAGGATCCTTCAGCACTAGGTAAGGTAAAGAAGATGACTTGGCCTTTGGGCATCCTGCCTTCAGCTCTCCATTCTCAGCTCCTACCCATTTCCCTCCAAGCCCCAGGTGATTGTTAGGTTGATCCCTCAGTACCTGAGCTAATGGAAGATGTGCTGTACTTCGTGGCAAGCCGGGGCGTAGGATTGGACCCTCGACCTCGTCCCCCCATTGGTCTCCTACGACCCTCTTCACCCCGGCTAGAGGTATCTTGGTCACTATGTCCAGGTCGGTCAGGCTCTTCTCGTTTTTCAGATTCTGTTTCCGAAGCAGTGGACAGGTCTGAACCAGGCCCTAGAGAACAGGAGTCAATTTGGTTCCTCACTTCCAGAAAATATTATTTAATCTCCTACAGCTCCAAGGAAAAGCCATTGCATACAGTTTATTCTCCTTCCACAATCCATCACTCCCTCTCATCCTGGCCATACACCACAATCTCACCATAGCCAGAACTTCCTGTCCTCCGGCCACGGCCTCGACCCCCATAGGTTCTAGTGGCATGGAGGGAAGAGGAAGAGCTTTCATCTGTAGCATAGCCAGTCTTGTCACCACCACTGCTCCCTCGACCACTTCCAGGGGTACGGAAGCCCAGCCCAATCTGCCGAAGCTGTTCATCAATCTGCAGCCTTTCCAGTCGAAGCTGTTCTACTTCCTGGTTGGAGGCAAGAAAATAGTTGGGGGCAATGAAAGGAAAAAACTTTTAAGAGTCCTCTGCAGAAACTGCATGCCACCTAAGCTCTCTGAGTAGCAAAGAATTCAGCAAAAATGAAAACAGAAGAACAAATCCTAAATGTGGACAAATCAGGCATCCAATCCTGCCCTTTAGCCCTGCTCTCCTCAGACACAGTCTCCATAGACCCCAGCTTTTCTAAAAGTTCCAATTCTCCTTTGGACACTCAGTACCCATTTCCCTCCCAGGGAGACAGCCCTGGTACCTGCAAGTAAGAGAGGTGATATTCCAATAGGGCCTGAGCATTGCTGATATTCTCCCGGGTGCCAACGAATATGAAAGGAACCATTCCCTGGCAGGGAAAAGATGGGTCAGTAAGGAGAGAAGAAAGGTGAGCAAACCTGTTTCCCACATCTTCACATAAGCTTACAGACCGGGGACCCATCTTTAGCAAAACCCATCCCTGCCCCCACCACATAAAAGTTCTTGTCTTAAGGAATTTGCTCCTACCCACTTCCCTGGGGAAACAAAAGAAATCCTTTCCCATTATACCTCCTCCCTGGGATTCTTCTTGTCGTTATCACCCTCTACTCGAACCCTCACCACACCAGATTTATCCACAATCTCCTGGATCACTTTTCCATTCTTCCCAATCACTTTGCCTGTGTTGGGGGAGGGGGTTTGAAGGAATTCGTTATTTAAAGGATGAAGAAGATAGGGTATAGTAGACAGTTCTTTATTTTATAAGGGGGTTTACTTCATCTGTCTATAACCCAACACAGAAAAGATGAAAACGTTCAGATATCCTTGGAATTCTTCTGTCTAATCGACATCATTCCTGTTGCAGTTTTTGCTTGTCCAGTCCTCAGGGGGTTGTAACTCTTTAAGTCCAGCATAAGCCTAATAAGCTCCTTCCTAAAAGACCCAGTCGTTTACTACCCCCCACATCACCCATTCTCCACCTCTTCTCCCACTGGTCCCCAACTCTCCACTCCCTTTTAATTCCTCCTCTTTCCTGCTTCATCCTGACCACTGGCCCTCTAGACTCACCAACCAGGTTCCGGGGCACTTGGACAGAGTCTTCAGAAAACTCAAGGTAGCTTCGGGCCTGCCGGCATGCCTCAGGGGTCTGGGGAAAGAATGGGAGGATGATTACTGGACACAGGGGCCTGAACCTCAAAGGAATCTAAGTTTTCCTTCCTTCTACCACCCTCTTTTTGAGGAAATGTGCTACCACTAAAATCCAAAAAACAAAAATTCCATCATATTTTCTATTTCACTTTTCCTCCCCTTAGAAGTCCCGGTACTGACCTCCCCATAGATTCGAAAGGTGCAAGTCTCCTCGCCCAGTTCAATGGCTGTCACCCCAGGCACTTTTCGGGCCTGCTGGATATTGGCACCGTGAGTCCCGATTGCTAATCCCATCAGGTCCTCCCTTACTGTAAATTCTTCCTGGAATGCGGCTGCTAGCTGCTTGCTTGTCTGGAAGGAAAGACCGGAAGTCATCTGGGACATCTCTAAAGCTCAGACAGTACCTGACCCAGGGCTCTTCTCTGTGTGTGATTAAGATGACTGGGGACCAGGGACGAGAGTGAGTTAGAAGGAATGGAACTACAACTTCTAGTGGCCACTAGCCCTTGTGACACATGATATGGAAACTGGAGGAAGTCAGTCTTCATTTCCCTGCCAAAGCCCAAAGATTCAAAGTAAAGGACACCTAGTAATCGAGTGGTAGAAAGTTCTGATACTGATAAGCTGAGTGATTTTGGCCAAATCACAATTTCTCTGCCTCAGGTCACACCTATTAAATGACAGCTGCTCTATCTATCTTGGAAGAGAATTCTTATAAAGTTCCTATCACATAGATGTGACAGCCCTTTGAAAAAGCAAGAGCATTATAAAAGAGTAATCAAGTATTATCTTACACTTTTCCAAGCAATACAGTCCCTCCCTTACCACAAATCCCAAACAACTGAGAAAGAGAGCTAGAGAGGATCTCAAGATCAATAGAACTGGTCCAACTGCTAATCAGGTCCTTCGAAGCAGTCTAAGATGGGTTGCCTAATTCTTGAAGAAATACAGCAGGGAATCTGGGGGAGTAAACCACAGGTAAGAAGAAAGAGGGGTTGAAAAGGATTCCCTGAACAAGGAGGTTCCAAAAAGGCTCATTTTCCACAGGAAAGGGGCTGAAACTTTATCAAGGAGTACTAAAGATGGGCCTAAGGGAAAAGAAAATGCTGGACAAGGACAAGCCTTTTGGCTTAGGTATGCAACCTTAAAAGAAGTCTACAAGTTCCCTACAGGAATTTACCAAGATGGCAGAGCTCAAACTGAATCCAGAAATCAAAAGCACTTAAGGAAAGGAGATAGTCCCTACCCCAAACCCTATCTACTCATGATGCTCAAGGAACATATCTATGTTAGAACTCAGAGATTATCTAGAGCAATCTCTAAACTGTGGAAAGGAAACTTCTGAAGTTAACAGAGAAAGTGGTCATAAAGAGATAGAAGAACTAGGAGAACAGTATGTCAAGGAAGCTAAGAGAGAAAGCTGAAGAGGAATGAGGGTACAGAGTGAAATGGGAAAAATGAGACTAAACATTTCTTTGAGAAGCAATGCTAGAATGCTAATCTCTTCTAGAAAGTTATACTCCAACCTCATCTTACAAAAGGCATATAGTAAAATGAAAAGAACACTGGAATAAAAAACTGAATATTTTGGACAAGTCACAATTTGTTTGGGCCTGAAATTCCTTTAAAAAAAAAAAAGAAAGAAAAAAGAAAGAAAAAAGATAATATCACCAGGCTTAAATACATTTGTTGTAAGGATAAAATGTGAATGTATATGAAAGCAGAAAAACAATAA